GGTTTACTTTCCTGACTCGTATTTGATTTGAACATAAAAATGATATATATATATATATGTATAGTTTTTGATTTAAATATGGCTGTATCCTTATTTTTTAAAGTCTCTTTTTTATTTACCACGTAAAATGTCTGAAAAGAAACTTGATGACAAAAGCGATTTTATAGGAGTGGATTTGAAAGATGAGTCAACAGCTCTTCATGAGGACTATAAACATAAGCTTTATGAAAAGTTGGGTCACGGTGATGTTCTAACTGATGATATCAGCATTCCTGAAATAGAATATCTTTTTCAAAAAACGGACGAGTTACCATTACTAAAGGCTCTTGAAATTTTGAAACAATGTCTTCAAGATCATGATGATGATCCAAATTTTCCATATGATGATTTGGAATTTATTCAAAAAGTTGTGAAAGGTTATAATAATGATTTGAAAATGAGTTATGATGATTGGGTTTTTAACGTCAAGATGTATGCAGTTTTGAATGAATACCACTCTCCATATCCAGAAGTTCGTGCAGTTTCTTCACCCATAGATGATCCAAGTATCCCTTGTGAAACTATACGTGCTTATATATTAGGGTTCTTTTGGTGTGTTATAGGCACTGGAGTCAATGAACTCTTCTCTCGTAGACAGCCTTCCATTTATTTATCTGCCTCAGTTTGTCAGATGCTAATGTATCCATCTGGTCTTGCTCTTGAATATATTTTGCCAGATTGGGGGTTTACGTTGTTTGGAACTAGACATTCCCTAAACCCGGGTCCTTGGACTTACAAAGAACAGATGTTTGCTACTGTTATGTTTGATATCGCAATTGGTGGGATGTATGTTGGTTACAACTTTTATGTCGAAAAACTAAATATCTTTTATGGTAACACTTGGATTACTGCAGGTTATCAAATTCTACTTTCTCTTTGCACTCAATTATTTGGTTTTGGTTTTGCAGGTATTCTCAGAAAGATAGTTATCTACCCAGTTCGTGCTGTTTGGCCAACTATTCTACCTACACTCGCTCTTAATCGAGCTTTATTGAAGAAAGAAAAAAAAGAAAGTATTCATGGCTGGACAATCACCCGTTATAAAATTTTCTTTATTGTATTTACTTGTTCGTTTTTATACATGTGGGTTCCCGATTATTTATTTCAAGCATTGTCATATTTTAATTGGATGACTTGGATCAAGCCTGACAACTTTAATTTGGCAACTGTTACCGGATCTATTCAAGGTCTTGGTTTAAATCCAATTTCGAGTTTTGATTGGAATATTATTGGTTATTGGCTTCCATTGGCATTCCCATTTTATACATATTTGAATATGATGATTGGAATGTTCATTGGGTTTTTCGTTATTATTGGTCTTTATTATAGTAACTACAAATGGACCGCTTATCTTCCAATCAACGATAACAATATATATACAAATACCGGTGCAATATATGAAGTCCAAAGTGTGCTCACCAAAGGGAAACTTGATGAGGATAAATATAAAAAATACGGTCCACCATATTTATCGGCTGCTAATTTGGTGGTTTACGGTGCTAATTGTGCCCTTTATACGTTCATGGTTCCATACGTTTTCTTTACTGAACGTAAAGGTATTTGGAACTCAATCAAATCATTGAAAGAACTGATTACCGACTTCAGATCGTCAAATTATTCACGTTTCAAAGACCCACATTCTCGAATGATGTCTCATTATAAAGAAGTTCCAGACTGGTGCTTTTTAGTGATCATGTTGATTGCTCTCGTCTTCGCAATTGTCTGTGTACAAGTTTATCCTGCTAACACCCCTGTATGGGGGATCTTCTTAGTTCTTGGTATCAATGCTGTCTTTGTGATCCCATTATGCATTATTTACGCTGTTACCGGGTATTATTTCACTCTCGAGGTTTTAGTTGAATTGATTATTGGGTATGCGTTACCAGGAAATGGTGACGCTTTAATGTTTTTGAAGGCTTTGGGGTTCAATATTACTGGTCAGGCTCAGCAGTACGTATATGATCAGAAAATGGCACATTACGCAAAAGTTCCTCCACGAGCTGTTTTCCGTGGTCAATTGTTGGGAACTATTTTCCAAATAATTGTGTCATTGCTTGTTATAAATTGGGAAATTTCGAATATTGATGGAATATGCACTGATGAACAGTCAAACAATTTCACTTGTCCTAGTGAAGTTTCTTACTATTCTTCATCAGTATTCTGGGGTGTTATTGGGCCAAAAAGAGTCTTCAATAAATTATATCCTGTATTACCTTATTGCTTCCTTATTGGTTTTTTACTTGCTCTTGTATGTCTTGCTGTCAGACATTACTTTTACAAACAAACTCGTTGGTTCCAACCAGCAGTTGTCATTGGTGGGCTCTTCAATTACGCACCTTACAATTTAAGTTATTTCCTTCCTGGTCTCTATATGTGTTACGCTTTCAACCACTATATTAAGAAAAGATTTGGTGCATGGTGGGAAAAATATAATTATATTTTGTCATCTTCTCTTGATGCTGGTGTTGCATTCAGTGGAATCATTATCTTCTTCGCTGTTCAATATTATGAAAAAGATATAAATTGGTGGGGAAATTCAGTTTCTTACGCAGGTACCGATGGTGGTATGGGACAAGTTAGTTTATTGGACCCAACCACAGCCCCAGATGGATACTTTGGTTTGAGGTCTGGAGAATTCTAAGATGATAATGGTTTATTGGTCATTTCCCTGGCGTTTTTCATAGTTTAGATTTTGAAATCTTTTTTCTTTACTTTATAGTCATATTTAACTCGTTGAATTCTATTACATTACATTTTTCTTGTGAAATGTCACTACCTCTATAGTTTTTTTTACTTAAAAATCTGGTATATGGTTACTAGTTATTGACCTTAATAGTCCAATAATTAGTTTCCATCGCTCTGATCGAGATTTGCGCATTTGAAATATCCAATAAATTAATTTGAAAGACTGACCTCCTCGGGTGTTTATACAAAAGCCTGTCGGTATAATCATTAGTACGGAATATTTGCCGCGAAATGATACAATAATATCATCCAAAAATAAAGAAATGAACTATTTGTAAAAATCAACGAGGTCCCAAGTTGTCGTTTTGGTGAGGTGTGAATTTCTTTTGTCAGCTAATACGAGATCCACGTCAACATCCAATGCTAATTCATTGCTCCTCCGATTTCTAGTATGAAATTTATAGAATGAGAACAATTGAACAGGGCTCGAAAAATCTTACGATGTTGTCCAGAATATCGTAGGTATCTTAGAAATTCGAAGTCTTACGTCACGATCCCTGTTATAATGCATTTCAAGTTCAGGGACATGCTTGATTTACCTTTTCACCTAAAACGTGCGAAACAGAAGAGTTTGAATATAAAATAGAATATAATTGCCATTCTTTTTGTTTCAATGTTTAAATCAATCAAATAAAAAAAAAAATGACAGGACTCGGTGTGCCAGGTGTTTTTAAACTAGTTATGGGAAAATGGTTTTCTCGAATAACATATACTGGTGTATTATTAGGAGTATTTGAGCAATTATCCACGACGGAACCACAACTGGCAGAGCAGGTGTCTCATGAAATTAACGTACATACAGATACCCTATATAGGCTCCTTCGAGCGCTTTCATTTATAGGTCTAGTTGAAGAAAATGACGACCATAAGTTTCTCCTAAATGAAGATGGTGCAGTTTTACGTAAAGACCACCCAATGTCTTTGAGAGGATTTTTTTTATTCGAGGAAAGTTCAGAACACCTTGTTTGCTGGAAGCACCTACCAGAATTTGTTAAGGAAGGACCCAAAAAGACTGCGTTTGAGATAGAATTTGGAAGACCTGTTTTCGATTATATGGATGGAAATCCAAAATATGCTACATTATTTGGAGATGCAATGGATTCTATTTCTTATAAGGAAATTGAGGGTATTGTTACCGTTTTGAAAGAAGGAAAATATTTGGAGAATATTGATGTTATTTGTGATATTGGTGGCAGTAGCGGGTATTTTCTTGACGTCGTTTTAAAAACGGTAGCCAAGCCCGATGCGAAAGGCATTGTAAGCGACACTGCGACTGTTATTAAAGATGTCGAATCTAATGGTAAAGCTGCTGCACTACTGAAAAACCTTTCTTTTGAAGAGGTCGACATGTTTAAGAATGCTGTGCCTGCAGATGTCTACTTTGTAAAGCATATTCTTCATGACTGGCCCGATAACAAGTGCATAGAAATTTTGAAACTGGCTAAGAAGGCCGCAAGACCTGGTGCTAAATTCATTGCTTGTGAAGCAGTAATCCCAGAACCAAACGTGCCCGGTCTCTCCAAAGTATTGGACATTCAAATGATGCTCATGTGTTGTGGTCGTCAAAGAACAGAAGAGGAATTCAAGAAACTTTATGAAGCATCAGGATGGAAACTTGAGGTTCTCAAACCCTGTGGGGACGACTTTATCTCTTTAGTAATAGGTACTCTTTGAAATTATACTTGTAACTTACAGCTCTATTGATATATTTTTGTATGCATGGTCAAAAATATTTTCTGACAGAACTTTGACTTTATCTTCCTGTGCATTTATTTTTAAATTTCACTGTTAGCAAAAATAAACAAACACTTCTATTATTCGGTAGAGTAATGCAACAGTAGTATAATTTTTTCTGGAGATTTCACTTATATCATGCTATTAATAAAGATATTGCTGCAGATCTCCCCGAGTCACGTGTTGGTTACAAATAACGTAACCTTTATCTAAGTTCCTAGCCCTTGCATAATGGTTACAATTCTCCACATTAGAGACATTCAACAGTCTTCTTCAAGATTATCACCATTAAATACAAGTATTTTTAGCAAACAGGATTATGATAAATACACCTTGCAACTGAAGCTAGTGGTACTCAATAATCTAGCTCGATCTGAATGTCTATTTTTAGCAGCTTTCACAGCTATAAAAATGTGGGTAAATTCTTGAGTTGAGCTTAGTTGAATTTCAAATTACACTAAGTTTGTTCATCACTATCAGATATGATTTTCTCAATTGTTTTATTAGCTCTACTCAATATCTTCTTAGCGGAAGGTGCAGAAATTTTTTCATATAACTCTCAAGACTGTGGTTCCGATCTGTCGGGTAACATCCAGTTAAATGTGAACACATGCTATGGAATGACAGGAGGTGATCAGAAGAGCATGTTTGTAATGAACGAATCTGAAGATTACACTGTGCATGTATGGTATGGAAATATGCAATGCCAAGATCAAGAGAGTGCTCATTTTAACTACAATGCATGTTGTAATCTAGATGATGACGAATTCTCAGTGATGGTAACAAAGGGGGATGTTAAAAGCGCAGGATTGACACCTGCAAAGAATGTGAAGATCGACAACTTCTTTTAGGTTACACAATTTAAATGAAAAATAAAAAAAATTATAAAAAATTATAAAAATTCAACAATTAAAAAAATTTAAAAAAATTTGAAATAAAAAAAAAATTACTAGAAAATGAATACAATATGGATAAAAAAAAAAAACTATGATGTGAATTAAAATCAATAAGCAGCGTTGATAATTTATATGTTTTTGCTGGTAGTATGAAAATCAATGAAACCATGAGAGGCATGAGCCAGCATAACGACAGACAGAGACTGAAATTGATAGCATATTACTAGGACTGTGGTATGGAACACAAGTTTACATTACTGGAGAGTGTAACCTTACTATTTATTTATTATACGCTCATTTGATAAGCCCTTTGGCTTGGTTATTGATGCTCAATGATATAACTGATCAATTATTGGATGAAAATCTTATGAGCAGGCAAATTGGTTTGTGGATTTGATGAATGTATGCTATATTCTTTAGCGGTATTTTAAGTTGGTACAAGAATGAATGTTCAATCGCATAAACACGATACACACTTAGATTATTTTATCTGTCTCATTTAGGTCACCTAATTATTAGTACCATCTTTGCTTACATCCAAGCTTCTCTTTGGTCCACCAATAACAATAATTTCTAATTGAAATAATATAAAAAGTACATTATATTTTGAATTAGTATTAAACTTAGGATAATACTATTAATTAATTAACTCGTGCACTCTTGGTCTATCATATATGAATGAAATAAATCGGATCCCCAATGTAATTACTACCAGCAGCAATCAACATGCTTGATTAGATTATTTCCGCTCTATGATAAAGATATCCGTCGATTGTTCCGATGTAAGCCAAATTACCAAAACCGCCTACAATGTAAACCTCATCAACAATAAGCTTAACCCAATGTGACTTATGAGGAGTGATTTTATTTCGTGGAAGCCACGCTTTGGCATCTGGATGCCTCTTCAAGAAACAAGCTTCTAATTCAAGCTGCTCAATTGGGTTCTCAAAGGTTACATCTTCTAACCTTCCTCTTAAATTGATTCTAGGCGAGCCCGCAGGAGAATGCTTTATACCACCAGGATAAGATGTATCTACTTTTTCATCTAAAGGGTGATCTCCTACTCGAATAGTGAAAGTATAATCAGAACCTTTTTCAATGTTCTGGAAAGTTGATCCAATATCTACCACGAGCCAATAAGGATCTCCGTTACCATCACAATCTGCATAATATTCCATCGATGAAGCAGGTACATGTGTCACTTCACCTCCTAACTTAATTGTCTGAAAAGTATTGACATTCACTAGAGACTCTCTAGATACCAATGTCCTAGCCACTCTTGCACCATCTTTAATGTTGGGTACCGCATTTGTATGGAGTGAGATCTGGCCCATTGAAATTGCAATTGAACCGTCTGTAACTGGGAAACCAAATACTTGATTAATCGTGTAAGCAATTCTAAGAAATCCTGAAAATGCTGTATATATCTTCATGTTTACTGTAGAATATTGTGCTGGAGTAAAGTGTTGAAATACAATTAATAGTCCGATTTCGGAAGGCTTTTGTAGTCGAGGAAAATGCGTTCATGCGTTTGAAGGCTAAATTTGCACGGGAGCTTACGATCACATTTTATATTACGCTTTCTACACCTTCCACAAGCGTAGGAGATTTTGTTTCTTTTCTTCAGTTCATATCCAGAACTCTTCACTATAGAAGTGGTTTCTTTTCCTTCAATCTCTCATAAGAAGATTTGTTTTGAAGGTTTTTGAATTTCTACTTGCAAGGACCAAATTTTTACTTCAAGCTTAAATCCATTACAAAAATTGGCCACTGAAGGTCACGACGATAACGTATAGAGTCGTGCTCGTGCGATACGAATCTAGTCGAAGTATACGTGGTTCGCTACCTGAATCTGCAGCTCATTGGAAATTCCATTGTGGTGATTTTTGAGAAGTGATGGAAAATTTGATTACACTGGGGAGTGTTAAAAGTTCTTGGGAAATTGATTTTCAATTTTTGTACTGGATAGCTGAGAAATTGCGTCACATGCGACTTCAGCCTCTTGTTGGATAAAATCGGCAGGATCGAGTTCATACCGAGTGCACTTAACATACTTACAGAAGAGGTATGAACTTATTGCAAAATATCTCCCAATTATTTACCCCGCTCATCATTAACACTTTCTATAGTTAATATGCCTTAAGAATAAAACTATTTTTTTAAAAAATGTGTGCGTGATCTTTTATCGTATATAACATTGATAGCAAAGTACCGACACAGTAAGTATTATCTTGGTACTTTTCAAGAAACTTTTGCTCTTACTGAAAAATAATAAAAGATGATAAGGCTGTTTTTAGGGAAGTCAAATATGGAGCCACGAATACGACCAATCAAATTTAATTGATGCCAATTTCCGCTTCAGGAAATTAATTTTTATCAAATTTATTCATTTCCTAATTATCAACTATTTCCTTAAAAATAACTGCCAATTAAAAAATATTTGTGAGAGAACAATAGGTATGTCAAATCAGAGGCAAATAATAAATCTAGAGTTTGTAGATGCCAATAGAATTGACAAATAATAATCATTATGTGCACATGCTCTGTTGCAAAATTGCGACGACGAATTTGTATAAATATCAAGTCATAATCTAAATATATCTTAATGCAAAAATAGAACAATCCAGACTACTTACGATGAAACTTACAACCACAATTTGCTGCTCCTATTTGATTGCGCTTGCAGTTGCAGCGCCCATTGAAGCCACCAGATCGTCGGAAGTCGTTGCTCCAAGAAATCTTGCCAGTATTGAAAAAGTTCTAGAACTGAAAGCTGCTGCTCTTAGGGCAGCTGCTATACAGTCAGCCAAAAATGCTGTTTCAAATGGGGTGAGTTCTGCTAAAAGTGCTGCCGGAAATGCAGCTAGCTCAGTTGAACTGGCTGGGCAACTGAAATTTTCATCTATTGTCGCCGCTGCCCAACTGGAGGCTGCTTCGCTTAAGGCTGCTGCACAACAAACTTTTGCAACAGCCGAACAAGATGGTGATGATGACATTGCTTGTACTCAAGAAGATTTGCAACTGAAGGCTGAAGAACTTGAAAGTGCTGTTCAACAAGCTATTGCTTCAGCTAAAGGTGCCACGGCTCTGGAAATTGCCTCAATCGAAGAGTCCTTGCAACTGAAGGCAGTATCCCTCAAAGAATCAGCTCAGCTAGCAGTCTCATCTGCTGAAACTGCAGGTAAGCTGAAAGTCATCTCTGCTGAAAAGGCCATTATTCTGCGGGTCGCAGCAGTTGAAGACAGCTTTTATGAAAAAACTGGTACTACTAAGGGTTCTTTTGAACTGAAAGCTTCTTCTTTAAAAAATGAAATTGAGTCTTGGTTCTAAAAACATATATTCAATTAGATGAGATGAATATATTAGTAGATAGAGTGTCGAATTAACTAAATTAATAAATCATGTTCTTCTAAAACTAGGACGTTACGAAAATTGGAAACAAATAATATCCTTATTTATAACTAGTTACTTTTTTTTATAGGTCAAATCCTGACTTGTTGTAAAGTAGACAGTTTTCATTTTTTATGGGATGCGCTCCCTGTAACTCCATTTCTAACTATAACTGAATCTTCTTAAGGGATAATTCTAAAACATTTTATTCAAATAATCCCCAATATTATCATCCAATATCACTGGACTGCCAATAGTAGAAATCAAAATATTCTGTAGTAGCTTACACACTAAACTTTTGGTTCTTGAGTTTGCAAAATATTGCGGAGCTTCAACCAAGTGCGGATTCAATAAAATTACACATGAAACTGATTACCCCAACTTTCATACGATTATATATAAAGTATATCTTAACCTAAAAAAAAAAAGAGACGAAATTAGGAAGTAATCTTAAACATGGATAGATTGAATCAAGTTTCGGGGCATTTATCGCCATCGGCAACTAATCATGTAACTTCTAAAAACCCTGATGATGTGGTGATTGTTGCATCGTATCGTACAGCAATCGGAAAAGGGTTTAAAGGGAGCTTTAAAGATGTTGGAAGTGACTATATCTTGTTGAAGTTTCTAGAAGCATTCATAGCAAAGACCAAGGTTGATCCTAATTCAATTGAAGATATTGCTTGCGGCAATGTCCTCAAGGTTCGTTCTGGTATCTGTGAACATAGGGCCGCTGCCATTAGTGCCGGTATTCCTTACAGTACCCCCATTATAGCCGTAAATAGACAGTGTGGGTCTGGATTGGTAGCTATTGGTGATATTGCAAATAAAATAATATCGGGAGAAATTGATTGCGGTCTAGCCGTGGGTGTGGAATCGATGACTAAAGACTTTGGATTGGGTCAATCAGTTGTGTCAAAAGCTCTCGAGAATCTCCCAGAAATGATAAAATCTAAGATTCCTATGGGGATCACCAACGAGAATATTGCTATCAAGTACAATATCTCACGCAAAGAGCAGGATGAATTTGCAGCTAAATCTTTTCAGAAGGCTGAAAAAGCACAGACTTCAGGTGTCTTTGCTGATGAAATATTACCTGTTGAATCATTAATTGAAGAAAAGGATAGCCAAGGTAACGTATCTTTTAAAAAAATTATAGTTGATAAAGACGAAGGTGTTCGTAAGGGGGTCACTGCAGAATCCTTGGGGAAATTACGCCCAGCATTTCAGAAGGATGGCCTGACCCATGCTGGTAACTCATCTCAAGTAAGTGATGGAGCAGCAGGTGTTTTACTAATGAGACGTTCTTTTGCCGAAGAAAATGGTTTTAAAATTGAAGGTAAGTTTGTTAGATGTGTTTCTGTTGGTGTACCTCCAGAAATCATGGGGATTGGTCCAGCAATCGCTATTCCTCATATTCTTAAGAAGACTAACTTATCAGTGGATGATATTGCAGCCTTTGAAATCAATGAAGCTTTTGCTACACAATGTTTGTACTCGATTAAAGCCTGCAATATACCAGAAGAGAAAGTAAACATCAACGGAGGGGCTATTGCGTTGGGCCATCCAGTGGGTGTAACTGGAGCTAGACAATATGCTACGATCTTAAGATTATTGAAGCCAGGTGATATCGGTTTAACCTCAATGTGTATTGGTTCAGGTATGGGCTCTGCTAGTATAGTAGTTAAAGAATAAATAAGATTTATGACCGGGAATTTGAGGATGCTTTCTATATTATACACATATTGTTTATATATATAAGATATATTTTAGATCAAACATTATAAGGTTACTTTGAGGAGTAGTTTAATAGTTAAGTCCAATTGTAGTCTATGCACCTAGGAATTAGCTATGTGAGCCTTCGATACTCTAGCTTTCTAGTGGAGGTTGGTTGCAAGACAAGACCTACGTTTTGAATAATTTAGAAGTATCCAAAGTTGAAGCATTTGAATATTTTACCTTTGAAGGTCATGAAACAACACACTCACACAATCTTTTAGAATTCTTCTATCTGAAATTGAATTTATTTGTTTGAATTTCATTAATTCTGCTCATTCTCACAATGTTCATAATGTTCATCATATTTCCACGTATAACCTTGCTACATACTACGGATTTAGTTCGCTAATGCCTATTTATAGAAATAAATGATTATTCATAGTTGCATGAAATACACTTCGTTAAACTCTACTGATATGATTTGTAAAAGTTGCAAAAATGCATTTCCGCATTATGATAAAAATGATCCTATTATGATTCTAATGAGTAATTCGAAATCATTATTGCTAAGACACAATATTGACAAAAATTGGAAATCAGATGTAATATAAATAAAACTAGCCTATCTCAGTATTTTAAGATGTGTTTCTATCATTTTTTGAGGACTATGATGAACTTAAGTACTGGAAGAGATACTGACATCGTTCGAATTGTTAAGTGTGAACCAAAAATATTTCTGAGTCCTCCAATTTACGCCAATGTTCTTCACAGCGTAAATATTGTCATATACGAGTGAGCAATAATGACTCATTTTCCCAAAACGTACAAGCATATGGTTTCTTTGAGATATTTAATAGGAGCAAAGTTCGAACAAGTTGACACAGTTTTTTTTTACTTCAGAAAAGTATCTAAGCGTCGGTACTTGTAGTATTTTCGGCGCGTACAACTGACACCACTTCTATTTCAGACTTAACATGGGAGCTTACGAATTTGTTTCAGCTTTCGTCCCAAGAATGTCCATCATTCTTTGGATCAGCCCTCGGCTCTACTGAAGAAATAAACGATCAAACTTATATCCCCAAATTACCTAGCGAATTGCCGCCAGAGCACTCATCGAGCCATAGTTGGTTATCTGAAGATACATTCAAAGATGGTGAAACACCTGTTTCTGTTTGTCCAGCTATAAATACTGGAGAAGCGTCGCTACATGCAGAACTCGAGACTAACGTGTCTCCATATGATAACAAGATATCGTCATCTTCATCCTCTTTCTCGGAAGGTGAGCCTGAACCAACTGATGTCGAACGACAAAAAAAGTTAATATGGATAGACCAATCGCATGATCTATCAAGTTACTCTGGACTGGGTACCCGCTCAAATGGACCAAGCTCAACATTAGAGGATGTCGATGGGGTGCGTATGCGCCTCGAGAAACGCAAACGACGTATCTCCACAAAAAATTTGCTGTCGGAAGATTTATGTGAAACAAAACGGGTAAGAAATACAATAGCTGCAAGAAGATACAGACAAAGAAGACAAAAAGAAGTTGAAATTCTTGATAAAAAGGTTAAGGAACTTGAACATGAACTTTCCACTACCAAAATGGAGACTAAATGGTGGCAGATGGAGGCACAAAGATGGCAAAAATTAGCTGAGAAAAGGGAGGAAAAGTAGAGATTTGTTTAGATATATAAAAAAGCTTATATTTGAATTAATATTATAAAGCTTATATTAAGCTGTACTCTTTAAGAATTATAAGGGACAATCAAAAGTATATTTGAAGGTGCATGATTTTACTTACACCATTTAGATAGCTTCTCAATTAATATATCAGGCCTTGTTAATGTACACGTTTCCTTAAATGTTTCGAATGCATAAGCTTGAAGTCTCTTAGCTTTGGGGAACGGTTTCTGTTGCCGATAAAACTTAAAAACAAATTAGAATGTGGCTTGATATGTGGGTTTTTTCGCCATTAAATCTTCAAATTAATAATTACATACTGTGCATCTTAGATTCTATACAATAAATAGCTTTTATTGGCTCACTTCATACCGAATGTTATTAAGAACATAATTGGAGATATACTAGTATTTAAACCCTTGAAAATATATACGTTATAAATAAGTAATGATTATTTAGACTTCTACATAACTTAAGATGATATCAAAAAATGCAGAGAAAACCAGTGTTTTCCTTAATGAACAGGATACATCTACATCTTCTATTCTTTCTGCCGCAAACAGTAGCCCAATAACTATAATAGATGCTGATAATGGAGAAGCAGAAACTATTACGAAGGATTGGAGTTATGAAGAAGAAATGAAAGTCACCAGAAAATTGGATTTTCTCTTGATGCCTTTGCTTTTCTTTGCATTCTTTATCTTACAAATTGACAGAGGAAATATCTCAAATGCTTTAACATCCACCTTAAAAGAAGATGTAGGTTTGGACAACAATAAGATAAATGTAGGAACAGCCTTATTCAACATAGGTATTGTTGCTTTGGAAATTCCAAGTAATATTTTGCTACAAAAGTTCGGTCCAAGTCGTTGGTTGAGTTTCCAGATAGTTGCATGGTCACTTTGTGCAACTTTGTATGACTGATTATAGATCATACTTGGTCACAAGATTCTTCATGGGAGTATTAGAATCAGGTTATATTCCCGGTGGCTTATACTATAGAAGTACTTGGTATACCAAGAGTCAATTACGTCTCCGTTATAATATATATTTCATAGGTAATTTAACTGCATCTGCAACAGGTTCCTTAATTGCTGCTGGTATATTGAAAAATATAGCTGGATCATATGGATTGCTGGGGTGGAAATGGATTTTTATTATCGAAGGTGTAATTGAATTAGGCTATGGCCTAATATCTGCTTCATTAATTCCAGATTCTGCGCTCGATCCAAGGCCTTTCTGGAAAGGCTTTAGGATGTTTAATGAAAGGGAATCAAAATTTATAAGAGGAAGAGTTTTATTAGACGACCCTGAAAAAATATCGAGCTCCGAGAATATTTCATTAACCGCCCTTAAAGATGCTTTGCTGCAATGGCGTATCTGGCTTCATTTTATTTTCACATTCTCATTTATGCAAAACACTCAAGCATTATCTATATATGTGCCTTCAATAGTTCAAAGTTTAGGTTATTCTAATGTTGCTGCAAACGCGATGAGTTCAATAGGTAGTTGGTGTGCAACAGTCATGTTAGTACTTTTGACATTATTAAGTTATTATATTAATATTGAATCCATTTCAATAGGTTTTGTCACGCTTTGGCAAATGGTTTTTACTGTAGCGTTATTTTCTATATCTATCTCAGATAGAAACAATTTAAAGTTTGCACTTTTAACATGCTTAATAACAAGTGGTTCAGTTGGTCATGTTTTGAATTGTTCTTGGACAAGTAACAACTTGTCAAAGCGGAAGCATCGTAGCATAGCCATGGAATTACTTGTCATGGCTGCAAACATGGCAGGAATTTGTGCTGGTCAAGTATTGAGAACGAATGATGCTCCGAAGTATCATAATGCATTTTTAGCCTTATCTGTGGTCAGCATATTTTCTTTGCTAGTAGTAGCTTGCATAACTGTTCAATATATTTTGAATAACCGTAAGTTAGAGTAGAAATATCCGTTAGCAAATAATCAAGTAGGTAAGAAAACGTTACTGCAGAAACTAAAAAGATCGAAAATGATAATACTGTTATTATCGTAGGGAACATAATAGATGAATCACATATGGAAAAATTACTTTCTAATATCGCAGCTACTGATCAGCATATCGAAAAATATCAGAACAATACCGTCATTAATAAGGAAAAGTTCAGATATTTTAAATCAATGGATGCATAAAGAACTTCAACTTGAAATTTAGATTCTCAATTTGTGACACTCAACTTATAGTTCAAATGCCACGGTACAGTGTACTTTTTATTACAACTAAGAGGACAATACAAATAAATCATTATCAGTCTAATTAATCTTGAACTATTTAGTGGATGCAAATTTAATTCATTTGAATAAGTTTTCGCCTGGGTAGACTGAATCCCAATCAAATGATATAAGGCCAGATGCACTAACCCTTTATGTATACAATAAGAAGTCTTCTGTTATTATACAAAACGTCCGATTGTTTCTTTTCATTCTTTGAGAGAATCCTTATAAGAAACATAAGTTCAAGGAAAATCTTCATCCATTATTCTATTCAAAAGTTCTTCCTGAGTGAACTTGTCTGACCAAACACGAATCTTATCAGGGAGTATTGATGGTTCCTTCGAATACATGGTGCAATAATTTGACCAACATTTTCGTACGTAGTGAATGCCCATCTGACAGTTGGTTCAATGATAGTTCAGTTGTCCTTAAAATTCAAACTCAAGGTATCAAGGAAATGAGAAGTATAAATGTCGACAGCATTTATTCCACCAGGCCTGACGTAGCTACTTGTTATATGAGGCTTCTTGTTCTCAATCTTTCCAGGTACGTAATTGGACAGGAACAATCTTAGGGCATTTAGAAAGTAAGAAGTTCCAACTTAAATACTATATAACTGCATAGAAGATTCCCTGGTTCGAACAGACAGGATCGCAGCATCGTAAAAACGCAAATAGTTTTTTCGGATGAATATAAGTACGAAATGCCCATCCGGTGAGGAATATGGAATTATAACTCGAACAATGTTTCACAAGCTACAAAATCATTATTAAGTAATGTAAAAAAACAGCTGCATTTGATCACATTTAAATATTTATATTTATAGACTAAATCCTAGAAACTCATTGCAATTACAATAATATGAGTTATAAGTCCAACATGGATCAAACCTTATTATATATGTTATCAAGCTTCCACACGAGAATAAATACTGATTGAAACATCATTTTTCTTTTCAAGGTATTCAATTTCCTTTTCTGATTTGAATTTAGAATCATCATTAACTTTATTATCAGCATAATAGTCTTTACTATTAATTCCTGGAACAAACCATGGTGAATTTTCGAACAATTGATTCATGGATTCCAATGGTATGCCCTTTGTTTCTGGAAGGAAACACCAGAAAAAGAATGAATTAGTAAAACTGCAAATAATAAAAACAATATAAAATCGATAATGAATAGTGTCCATAGCTAATGGGGTAACTTGTCCAATCATTGTATTCATTGCGAAACATGTCATTGTTGATAAGGAGACACCTTTAGAACGAGTTGCAGTATTAAAGACTTCACTAGGTATAACCCACAGCAATGGACCGACGTAAATGCTGAAAATAAAATTCCAAATCCAAGTAGAGGCAATAAAACCTATCTGTGATGAACGGGATTGAGCTCCCTTGTAAGGTGGAAAAAGTGCCAAAAGAATGCAAGAAACGATAAACATGCACCCACAACCAATATTTGCCCCAATTAAAGTCCATCTTCTCCCAGTATAATCGACGGTAGCAATACATAGAGCCTGGGCTATTAAAGCAATAATGGAATTGATTGCTTGATACAAAAGAGATTTGCCAGCCGATAAACCTATTTGAGCAAAAATTGTTGGTGCATAATACTGTATTGCAGATACACCTGTCATTTGAACTGAACCTTGAATAGCACAACACAAGAAAATTCTCCTCAAATTCGATGGTATTAAAAACAAGCTGGCCCAACTGGTTTGGCCATGTATTTTATCAAATTCAATGGCGGCTTTAATTTTCGCAAACTCTTCTTCTACAAACGGATCTTGTGTATTACCATTTGCATATAGCTTGCCTAAAACTTTCAAAGCCTTTTCATCTTTGTTGTACTCTAATAACCATCTAGGCAGTTCGGGGAAGAGCAAGATTAAACTTCCTAGTAATAATGCTGGTACCATCTGGAGACCGAGAGGAACTCTCCATTGCCTGTTATCTTCAAACCCGATGTAGCATCCATATCCTATCCATGCAGCTGATAAAGCGCCGATACCCAAGAAGAATTGTTGGAGACTTGTGACTCTCCCTCTATGTTTTGGATGTACTAGTTCTGCCTGATACAAGGGAATAATCATAGTGTATAGTCCAACGCCAACTCCAGCAAAAAATCTCCCGGCAAACAAGAATCTGAAATTCTGTGCTCCACATTGAAGCGAACCACCAAAAAGGAAAAATACAGTAGCAAGCAAAATAGTCTGACGACGACTCAATTTTTCTAAAAACCCAGCAAGAAGAGCTCCAGCAAAAGCTCCAACAGTAAAGAGAGATACAACTAAACCGGTAACTGTAGTGTTTGGGTAATTCATATATTCTGTGAAACTCTCTGAAGCAATGACTTGCGCAATAATTCCCAAATCATACCCGTAGGTAAAAGATCCCACAGATGCGAAACAACACACCAAAAACTGGTATAATACCGGGGAAATAGTCATGATAGATACTTAAGATTTTGCAATTAAAGGAAGAACTTCTAAGATTATATATGGTTTCACGCACCTCGTAAATTTTAAATTTCCCCGTGAGATAAGTACCCAGCGGAATATTTCCCTTGTTGGAATAATAAAGGTGGGTTTCGGTATGTAGTAACCGATATTCACTCCGTCAGGGTATAAGGATATGTTAATAAGTACTGGATTTCTATTTCAGAAAGTATCATTATTTTTTTAGTCACCGAGTGTTAAACATGTCTAATTCAGCTCAAACAATTGAAGAAATTAAAAGTTTATCTCGAACAGAAATTCGAATCGATCCCCACCGTCGCTTGGGCACGATCGATCGCAAAGTCTATAGTGGCTTTCTTGAACACTTAGGTAGATGCATTTATGGAGGGATTGTTGATTATGAAAATCCTAATAAAGCATTGATAACAAAAGAAGGGTACAGAAAAGATGTCGCGAAAGCATTGCAAGATCTTGATATGCCAGTTATCCGTTGGCCGGGTGGTAACTTTGTTAGTTCGTATCATTGGCAAGATGGAATAGGCCCAAAGGAATCAAGACCAAGAAGACCTGAATTGGCGTGGTTGAACGAAGAACTGAACTTGTTTGGCACAGATGAATTTTTACATTGGTGCGAATGGATGAAGATAGAGCCATACTTATGTTTAAACATGGGCACAGGGACCCTTGATGAAGCATTGGCATGGATAGAATATTGTAATTCTAGTCTGAACACTTTTTGGGCCAATTTACGTAGAAGTAATGGACATGAAGAGCCATATGACGTTAAATACTGGGGTTTAGGAAATGAGGTTTGGGGTCCATGGCAGGTAGGACAAATGAATGAAGACGATTATTGTAAAAAAGCGCTTCAGTGGGCAAAGGCGATCAAACTTCTTGATCCTTCTGTGGTATTAATAAGCTGTGGTTGTACAGGATTCTCGAAGTGGGACTACGAAATAACTCAAAATTTATTCAAGTTTGTTGATTTTCACTCTATACACTTATATACTAGTGATGGTAAGGACCAGATGAAGAATATCACAGGACCAGCTGCTGCTGAAACTAGCATTCAAATTACGGCAAAACTACTCGATTTAGCAAAAATTACAAACAATAGTACTACATCTAATAGTGTTGCAGCTACTGAAGATTTGGAAATCAAGAAACACCGCGTAAAGGTTTGCTTTGATGAATGGAATGTTTGGGATCCTGTTAGAGCCGGTGGAGAGGTTGGTTGCGAAGAAAAATATACATTGGGTGATGCATTAGCTGTTGGATCATGGCTAAATGTATTTGTACGCCAAGCAAGCCATGTTGGAATGGCAAATATTGCTCAATGTGTTAATGTTATAGCCCCAATTATGACTAACCAGAATAAGCTCTTCTTTCAGACAACATATCATCCGCTTCGCTTATTTTCTCAAAAAATGAGAGGAGAGAGTTTGAATATTCATGTCGCTACTCCTTTGTACAAGGGAGATACTCGCGGAGGTAATATGAACATTGAATGGCTCAAGGACGTTGATTCCAATATTACCATCCTCGATTGCTCGGCAGCAATTGACAATAAAAACATTATTATTGCGGTGGTTAACAGATCACTAACGGAAGATGCAACCACTAAGATTTCACTTCCTGTTGAACCAAGGAGCATTTGCCCCAGTGCTAATATGTGGGTTATATACCATGAAAATATTAATGCTACTAATTCGTTTGAAGAGCCAGAAAATGTTGTAGTCGAAGAAAATGTTATTGATTTGGACTTTATTCACCTGAATTGTGAATCTACAGTTTCAATACCTTTTAAAAAGCATTCTTTGACCATGGTAGAGATTCAGCTACTAGAAGACTTTTAGTATAAGTAGTGAGTGCTTTTATTTGTCGCAGAAAACATCAGATAGCCTCCTAATCATGATATAATCCACCATAATATATTTTATTTAGAATTTATTTTTTGATTTATTGATTTTAAATATGTATCTGTTCTTCAGAGAGGATATAAAGGAAAATGTACTTGTGCCTGATATTCCCCCATCGTAGGATTTCTGATATTCTAATCTACCGGAATAAGCGCCGGTACAAGTTCTCCCGTAAGTAATATGGTTTTCAATATAAGGTTCAGTTTTAGGTTTTTCAGTCCGGAACTTGAACTATGGAAACCTTATGGAAGAAACCGAATAGAGGGGCAATTTTACCACTCGTTTTATTATGTCATCAGTTTATTCTATATATTCTTACTACAGCATGTTCCTAATAGAGTTGGGAATGCTTTTTCTACTTAATCTGTATCCCTTCTCCTTAAAAGTATTATCGAAAGAAGAATACCGTCAAAATAAATATCTTCGTATTACATATATATTTTTTTACTCAACCTGATGGTGATTATTATATTGTGCACTCATATTACACAGATAATATTCCGATACTTCTAAAGTTTTCTTTTTTAAATCATTTTTTATCAGCATGAATGTTTTTCAACAGAATGCTATTGATATTAGATTATGTAAAATATTGTTATTTTACGGTGCATTGAACAAATTTGCAGCAAATCCTGTATACGGTCTGAAGATGATTCTGAATCATCGCCATTATTACCGCTTCAATGTTGCACAATTCCCATTTCTAACATTCAAGCTGGTATGTATTTACTTCAATAGAAAGCTCAAGAAATTCCTTCTATCGTGAGAAAAGCATATATGACATCCATTAAAAAGGCTACCTATCTGAAAAAGGATTCCCAAATCTGTCACGAAAAAATTATTTTCTTTCCTGATGTTTTACTTCCTTGGAGACCAACGATTTTAGCATATGCATCTTTATCTATAAGTAGTAGTATTGGATTCCCAATTGATGCTATTAAAACCAGAATGCAATCTCGATACGATTTTAAAGGTTATCATGATTGTATCAAAAGAACTTATATCTCTGAGGGTGTAAGAGGATTCTACAGAGGAATTACCATTCCTCTAATCTCCAACTCTATTTCGAGATCTCTTACTATTCTGTTATTCATTAAAATAAAGCCAATATTTTATTATTCAGTACCCTGCTTAAAAAAAGATAAAACCGTGGTTCATGAAGCACAGATAAGCTTCCTTTCAGGTGCCACATCAGCGGGTATTATTTCAATATTTACTTGTCCCTTTGATTCATTGAAGATACATTCCCAAATTTTACTTTTGGTACAAAAAGATTCATTAAAGGATTTAACTTCTTCCCAGATCCACTATTCAAGAGAGCACTTTTCCATAATTAACACGTTAAGAAAGGCTGTAAAATACAAGGGATTGAGAAGCGTTTATTCAGGTTTTAAGTACCATCTTTCAAGAGACACGTTATCCGGTGGCATATATTATTCTAGTTATGAGGTAACAAAATTCCTATTGAGTTCGCTCCCAGAAACTTCCTTACAAACATCAATATTTGTAGCTGGAGGTATTGCAGGTGTATTAGGAGGTTTAATCGCATTTCCTCTAGATACAGCGAAGTCTCTAGCACAAAAAAATGTGATTTCAGATATCATCAGAATCGAGAACGGATTAGATCCTCTACCATTTAAGGCAAATAACATTAAAATCCTCCATGGAGCGGTATATAAAGGTATTATGGCCACCGCATTCAGGGCATTTATAGTAAATCTGATGTTCTTTACTATATTTGAGTTCTCCATGGCCCGTTTACATTAGGTAATTACCAAGAAATATGATTTATAACGAATTCATTGGAATACAAGACATTATTTGACATTATTTTGGAATATAAGAACATTATTTAATATTATTAAAAAATATGATGACATCTCCGTTTGAAATGGTGACAAGTTAGAATTAGAAAAATTTATAAATATTAATAGTTCTTACAACCATTTTTAAATCATCTCGTAATCATTTTTTATCCTTCCTTTACTTCAGATATTATCATCATAAATAAATACATCTCAATCAATCTAGGATATTATGCCTGTCTGAGTAGGGTTCAATACATGAAAATATGATATGCTTGCACTCGCTATTTTTCATCCTTATCCGAAACAAATCAATCTAAAGTTCGAGTTTACACTAGTATTATTGGAGATTCTACTTAGCACATAATTTCGTTGTAAACTGGATAAATATACGGACTGGCTATTATGTTAGTATCATACATTTAATTAGACAAACGGTAAGGATATAACTGGATCTGATTAGTGAAACACTAACAAAACCGCTTTGCTCAATCTTCTATTTGAATTCTTGTGAGAATATGTCAATTCTTTACAGAAAGACTATTATGTTTCAATAGGAACTAAATCTCGTGCCATTATCCTCTTTGTCCTTTAAAGAGGAGTACGTACGTATTGGTAAAAAGTTTGCAGTTCTTCTGATTATCTTGCCTTACCGCATATAGACTCCACGAACAATTTCTCAACATATATGCATTATCTAAAATTTCCAATTTACATAGTCGCACAGTTTGCAGGGTATTTCAATTGTATAATGAGTGGAAAAAAAGGTTTTGGACATTGTCAATTGATTCGGACTTCGTTCCGACTTTGTGGACTTCTTATGATTGAATGATGTTTTAGCAATTAATAAGCACATACAATCCTTTAGTTGCTGTTAATCAAAAGAGAATATTACGTCATTTATATTGCACATCTACTATTGGTAGGATCGTAAATCAAGCTTTGGATGTCAATTCGTATCTTGACTTTGAATTCACGTTTTTAAGACTCAGTAATTGGATATGTGCATTTCCTGTAACTCAATATTTTATTTTAATATTAGTATTAGAAGATAGTAAGTCGTCGATATATTGAGCCAATAACAGCAATCGAATTTGAAATATCAGTATTCAACTTCTGATCAAAAACTTCCTAAGCCTGTAAATTAGGTAATATGCAGCAATTAACAATATCTGACTAATATATGCAGTGTTCTAGAAAGTGAGACATAGCTTGCTATATTGAGTTAATTGCTATAATAAAAACTATAAAAACGGCTGTATTTCAGCTTACCACACACTATGTTACTTAGCAGATAATTCTAACTGCTTATTGTAACAATGGTTTCAGAATATATTCAAAAAACAACGAAAGAGCCAGCAGTGTATGCAACCTCTAATGGAGTTCCTTATGCCAATCATCCATATGGTGCCCAAACGGCAGGCCCTGGTGGGCCGCTATTATTGCAAGATTTTAATTTGATGGACGACATTTCCCACTTCGATCATGAAAGAATCCCGGAAAGAGTTGTTCACGCAAAAGGTGGTGGTGCTCACGGATATTTCGAATTGACTGATTCATTGTCTGACTTAACTTATGCCAGTCCATTACAATCTCCAGGCTATAAATGTCCTGTCTCCGTTAGATTCTCTACAGTTGGAGGCGAAAGGGGTACACCCGATACAATAAGAGACCCAAGGGGTTTTTCAATTAAATTGAAAACTGACGTTGGTAATATGGATTGGGTTTTTAATAATACACCTGTATTCTTTATTAGAGATCCGATTAAGTTCTCCAAGTTTATTCACACTCAAAAGAGAGATCCATCAACAAACCTTAATCAGTTAACTGATCCATATCTTACTTGGGATTACTTTATTTATAATCCTGAATGCCTACATCAAATAACTTACATGTTTGGTAAAAGAGGTATTCCAAAGAGTTGGGCCGAGATGCATGGATATTCCGGTCATACATTTAAGCTAGTTAACGATAAAGACGAGATTACGTATATTCAGATCCACTGTCTCGCTGATGGAGGTTTTGAGGGCTTTAGTGACAAAGAAGGTAAAGAGTTGGCTGGCTCATCACCTGAACACAATACTAAAGATTTATATGAGAGAATTGCTGCTGGTAATTATCCTTCATATTCATTTTATGTTCAAACGATGACACCTAAACAAGCTGAAGAATTTCGTTATTCTATCAATGATTTAACAAAAGTATGGCCTCACAAAGAATTTCCGTTGAGAAAGTTTGGCCGCATGGTTTTAGATAAGAATCCGGTAAATTACCATGATGAAATTGAACAGATTGCCTTTTCACCTGCTCATTTAGTTCCCGGAATTGAGCCTTCCAATGATCCAGTTTTACAATCTAGGTTATACTCTTACTCTGATACACATCGTCATAGATTAGGTGCAAACTACCAACAATTACCAGTTAACAAACCAAGGACATTTGATAGTAATTCTGGATGTCCATTTTTAGCAGGTAATTTTCAAAGAGATGGGCATGCATCTATTGATAATCAAGGATCTAGACCTAATTATTTGAGTTCGTTATTACCTATTAATTCCATCTCGAACGATCCGAAGTCATATAAGAATGGATTACCACCTGTTGAAGAAAAAAAATATTTAGGTGTTGTTCCGAAACAGTCTACTGATAAATATGAAATTTTACAGAAACAACGTAATTTGAAGGCTCATGAAGAAAAAATTTGGCTCAAATCTTATGACTATGTTTCTGGATTCAGTGAGCTCGATGTTGAACAGCCAAGAGCGCTTTATAAAAATATTATAAGTAAGCAAGATAAAGGGGATTTCATAGAGGCTATCGTTGGGCATGCTTCGAAAATAAGTGTTCCTCAAATAAAAGAAAGAGTACCTCAGTTATGGGGTTTGGTAGACGAAGATTTAGGAAGTGAAGTTGCTAAAGGTTTAGGAGTAAATTACAAGTATCTCACTGTTGATGAATATATCAAAGATCTAGGAATAGCTCCTGCTAATTAGTAAAATTCTCTATTTATATGATATATCGTGCTATGAATATTTTAATGACCAAAATAATAATTTTCGTATATATTGTTGTTAAGCACAGTGAGTTTCACCGTTAGTGTGGGTATGACATTCGGATCCTCCTTCAGCCTCAGAAGATGATTTACTTGCCTCAGTAGTAGACGAGCTATCACTTTCTGTGTTACTTTTTCTATCACCCGTACATCCTTTCCCAGGAACAGCTATGTCATAAGCATAAACATCTAAAGCATAATATCTTAATGTAGCTGAATTTCTTACCGCTTCAGTTGTATTTTTTTTGGCTAACTCTAAACATTCATCATAGGTATCTGCATAATGGCCGACTACACCCTGTCCTATACTATCTGTGTGCCAAATCCTATGTAACAAATCACCAGCCCAAAATACTGAATTCTTAGAATTTGAAACTGTGTATCCCTGGCTACACATTTGAGATAAGTAAAGACGAGATGTATATGATAAATCACAAATAACATTTTCGTTCGTGGCGTTTTCTCCTCTCCAATGACCCGCCCAACCATCAAGTTTACAGTTATCATCTATGTCATCACAACGAAATAATGTTTTGCTTTTATCGGAGCTAACAATATTTTCAAACCAACCAACAACTTCCCCAGATGGAGCATCACCAAAGTATTTTTGATAAAATTTAGACAGGTTTCTAAATCTTGCCGTATGATCTCTAGCATGGGCAGCTAAAATTTGAGTTTCTTCCAAAGCATTGCTTAATTGGTTGAACTGACTATCATTACATGACTTATGGATTGGAAAATTTTTGACCCAATCTTCCGACCAATCATAAGCAGTAGAAGTGCTGTCAACATATTTTGTGACTGTTACATCCTCGCTACTAGAAGCTGGGGCAGCAAGGCAAGCTGTTGCACAAACAAGAACAAGTATATTATTTATTTTCATTCTATCAATTAGATAGTATCATATAATTACCAAATATAATAAATTAACATTGGTTTATATATCCCTAAATTTGATTTCGGTAATTAGAATCGAATTAGGAATAATGGTTAATGCATTGATTTAAGTTCTTGGCAAATATTGAAGGAATGAATGTATCAGAATAAAGAACATGGTTGATGAATTAGTTGATAAATTTCGTGATAATTTGATCAAATTTTTTTGCACCCTCGTAGTTCCTGCATTATTCTGGGCACTCTTAAATTCAAAATTGTATTAGTCAACGACGGGATACATCAATATTCCAATATAATATTAGTAGAATAGACTTTTGATTGTTGAGATACCAATTCAATAATCTTGGCACTTTCAATAAAATTTTCATTGAAGTGGTTACCTTATATTTAAGTATCTCGTTACTTTATATTTAAGTATCTCTGTATGTAAGCAATATGAAAAATATCTATTCGCTCAGAATAATTATACGTAATGCTCATGAAAGCAATTTTTTTATTCATAAGCTTTTTGGTTTTATCATTGGCAAAGACAGTTACTGTTACATCCACTAGAGACTATCGTGTGGGCCTGTCTACTCTTTTTAATGAGGGTCAAGCAACCATTACCAACGGTAGGGCCTCAGATTCTTCAGACGATTCATCTAGTGCAGCTCAAACAACAGCAGTGACTAGTTGTCACTTGCATGGGTCTGAACAATTTTGCGTAGATGGTGAGGGAAATGAAGGTTCAATAATTCCTGGTCCAAGTAAAACTGCAGATTCCCCATCAAGTTATACTGGTTGCCATTCCCACGAAGAAGATACATTTTGTCTTAACTCAGACGGAGACGAGGTACAATTTGTGAAAGATACAGAATCCTCGTCATCTTCAACATCCACCTCGTCCGGTGGGGAGAATTGTCATTTTCATGCCGGTGTGGAACATTGTGTGGCGGATGGTGAATCAGAGCATGGCGCATCTGCTGAAACTTGCGAAAGAGTTGATCGTGATTATGATATTCCCTTGAGAATTGGATTGCTCTTTGTCATTCTAGTAACAAGTGCTATTGGGTCCTTTGGACCTATCGTGTTAACAAGCTTCTTTAAGTTTAAATTGGATGGGGTAATAATCACTATTCTTAAACAATTTGGTACGGGTATTATTATATCAACTGCATTTGTTCACCTTATGACCCATGCAGATTTGATGTGGGGCAATTCGTGCATTACTCTTGGATATGAGTCGACAGCAACATCGATTACCATGGCGGGTATTTTTCTTACCTTCTTAATAGAATACTTGGGAAATAGGCTTATTGGTTGGAGAAGTCTGAAATCCTCAAAGCGATTAATAGAGAGAGGTAACCCTGAAAAAGCTAATGATATTACTGAAGAAACTATTTCTCCTGCTACCACACACAATCATGATGGTCCGGTATTAGTTAATGATGAATTCTCATGTGTTGTAATGGAAGCTGGGATTGTATTTCATTCTATCTTACTCGGCATAACGTTAGTCGTAGCAGGTGACTCATACTTTATTACTTTATTCATTGTCATCATGTTTCATCAAATTTTCGAAGGTATTGCTTTAAGTACAAGAATTGTTCAGCTTCCTAATACAAAATTATTAAAAAAATTATTAATGGCTGGAGTTTATGCGTTAGTCACACCAGTTGGTATGGCTATTGGTATTGGAACTTTAAATAAGTTTAACGGCAACGATCCAAGTACCATTATTGTATTGGGCACTTTAGATTCTTTTTCAGCGGGCATCCTCATTTGGACTGGGTTGATAGAAATGTGGGCCCATGATTGGATCTTCGGTAATTTGGCTACAGCGTCCTTTTTAAAGACTAGTATAGCTTTGGTTTCTTTAATAGCTGGCTTTATTGTGATGAGTGTACTTGGTAAATGGGCTTAAAGCGTAAAACCTGTATCATTAGTCAGTCGAATTTACTTTCAAATATTTATCATTTACTAAATAAATAAAAGTTATAGTTTTCATATTTTCAATAGATTTTTATCTTAGAGAATGCAACATAATACTATTACTTATCTATAATCCCCATAATTGTTTTCTATTATCTTTATTTATATATTAATTAGAAGTTGCAAATAGCTTATACGTACAGTGAATGTTCCATTATTGTTTAATTTCCACTAAAAAAATTATTCACTAGAAAGTTTGAAATACGTCAATGACACCTTTCCTTTTGACTTGCAAAATCTAATACTCCTAATGAAAAGCTTATCTATTTCAAACTTGATGATAATTATATCCTATCTACTTAACAAGTCCAGGTGTATTACTCTTACAGGAAAACCATATAAAGTTTTAGCCGATATTATATTTAGTGATGATAATAGATATATAAACTCTCTTAATTATCTTATAGAAGTCATGATACTTTCGCTATGCGGTCATAACATATTTCTTCTTCCATTCAAAGCATGTGTATTTGAAAGCAGAAGAATCAATTACTAATATGGTTCTGGTCAAACAAATTAATTAATCTTATTCATCTTTATACATATCATTACAAAAAATCTCTTCTCTACCTAATGATCTTTCTTCACATCCTTTAAACAATCTCGAATACTCCCTACCTAAACTCCAAGAGCTTGCATCAAATAATTGAGACATTTCATTCATAAAACCTGCAACATAATGAGTATTCTCATATTGTGGTAAATTAATCGCACATTTCCGAACATTCAAATGGAATTCTATTGCATTTTTACTTGGAATAATTATTGAATAGAATTTGTCTTTCAACTTATTCAAATAATTAAATGCACTTTCTTTAAAGCTATATTTGTCTTCCGAAAAATAATGATTTGATTCCGGCCCATAGACAATATAGTTGTAGCACCATATTATTAGAGAGCACACAACCATCACATGCCTTCTTTCGGGGATCGGGTCAATTCTTGGTAAATAGCTAATCTTATCAACACTCAACAAGCACTCAATCAAACATAAATATGCATGCACTACTCCTATTCTTCCATTTAAAGAATTAGCCCACCTCTTCATTCTTATCGATACATTTTGATATTCCTCATTCTGAGATCCGATATTCATACTCACTGGGACCCCTGAATAAATAAGCACATCACTATTAACGATATACAATCTGATGTGTGCCATATGGTATGTGGGACATTTACATTTGTTATCATCTAATTGCAAATACAAAGAATTCAAGCTACTATTCTTCAGTGTATGTGAATTTATTAGTAAATTTTTAACATCAGAACATACTCCGTTTACATTATATCTCCATGCATCCAATGCAAATGATATTTTATCCCTCCATCTATCCTTAAGGCTATCATAATCGGTATTACCTATAAGTGATACAATCTCATCGTTATTTTCCAACTGGATTATTAACGAAGCTAAAGTATGAAATAGAATTTTCTTACCAAACGAATCAGTTTTAATGTTTTCACCTTTAAGTAATTTCTTTAAGCAGTCATGAATAGAATCAGATTTTGCCGGCAACGTGAATTTTTTGAGGTTATCGAAACTTGCTTCCCATAAGAGATCGTTGCAAGGTAATGCTAACATCAATTTATCTACGAACAAGATTGAATTATGTGACGATATCATAGAGCTGGTCAAATCAGAGCAAAATGACATTAATGTACATCTTTTCATAGACTCAGCGGCAATCCATTTATTCCATAGCCTTTCACCTTCATTTTCCTTTGGCTTAACAGTAGAACTACTTTCGCAGATATAGGATTCCGCTATAACAGATGTACTTCGCTTTATCATCTCTACCTTAGCTGCATGATGAATAGACGACCGGTCAAATAGGTCACTGTTTGCAAAATATTTTTCATATACTTCTAAAATTAGTAGACTTTGTAATTCCCAGAGTTGTGAGGGGCCATGCTTTCTACTTTTAAAAATTAGCCATCTGAGATCTGTTCCTATTGTTAGTGAAAGGCCTATAGGGTCCTTCAAAATATCCCTAGCTGAGTAAGATAGCACAGAACCAATCATAATCATCGCCACCACAAGCAAGGGATGTGCAGTTAAAGAATCAAATGACGCCTGATGTAGAATTGGAAACTGAATATGGAAAATTCTCCAGTATACCTCCAAACAATATTCTAATGTGGGTATATTAAAGTCCGGAAACTGAACTAAATTAGGTACTAAGTGAAGTAAATTTTTCAACATTTCAGATGTTAATAATGACGAACTAGTTTGAGAAATAGATACCGTTTCAAATTTCCCTTTCAAAAGTTCCAAAAGAATAGTATCAGGAGAATTTTTAAATGTCAATGTGTTGGGAAATTCAGAATGAGTTATATTTTGTGCTGTATTTTTATGGATATGATCCAAGTTCGAAGGATTTTGTTCAGCTCTATCCTCAGGGACTAATTCATTTGAGTTAAATAGCCAATCCATTAATCCTGTTTGTGTGAAGAAGTCATCTTTCTCGGAGATATTATCCAGTTTCTCGATTGCTGGTGATGTTTGATTTTGTCTTGAATTACTTTTCGATCCATATGCTTCTTGATCTTTATTTAGCACCTTTCTCTTCTTGAAATGTCGTTCGTAATGACCAATCATAACATCATACCTTTTAAATTCCATCTTGCATCCAGGGTAAGAACACCCATGCAAAACTGCATTATCATCATGGTTCAAATGATGTCTCCTTAAATGATCCTTTCTTGAGAAAGATTTATGGCATCCAGGAAAATCACATTCAAATTTATTTGTCATTGTTATAGGCGTATTAGCCATCAAGTCATACCCGTATATATAACATATTTATTCGAAAGACAATATGATAGAAAACCAGGATGTTTCGTATTTTAATCTATTCAGGATGAGACACTTATAGGTTATGTAAGCAATTTTAACATTCTGGTTGCTTACTACCGAATAAGGCGGCATAAAGTCGATTACTACACCTAGTGGAATATTGCAGTTGCAGTATGGCTCGAATTATATTTACTTCAAAATTAATAAGAGTGGTTTATGTTGGATTTATATTTGAAAACAGAAAATTGAAATAAAAAGTAGTATAGGAAGTCTATAATAAAAAAAGCAAAAGGCTAAATAAGACTAAACAATCTCAAGGGTTACATTCCCAGATGTTGCGTTTATCAATTTACTTCCATGTTCATCAACCCCGATAACAGTAGAATTCTTATCAGGCTTAATGGTCTGATCTTTTGAATTGAGAATTCTAATCGTGTAAGGTTTTTTAAAGCTGCCCTCAACAGAAACATGTAAAGTATTTTCATTTGCTTCAACAGTAACTGTTGCATTATACTCACCGGTTTTACTGTGGTTAGGAATTTTTGTTGAGATCTTTCCCTGAATATCATAGATATTAACCATAAAATTGTCATTCCAAGCATAATCAGGCTTCTCGTTACAGTGTTCTGGACCGGAAGAAATTATAATAGAATTTGGACGAACTAATAATGGAAGAGACTTATAATCGTGTTTTTCCGTAAACCATTTACCATCCACAGATGCCCTAGTTTTTCCATCTAACCATCCATACCATGATCCTCGTGGAACATAATACTTGACATCTCCTTCAGCACAAAATACTGGGGCAACAAGCAAGCTGTCACCTAACATATACTGAGTATCTGCGGTAACAGCTGTCATATCATCAGGAAACTCTAATAACATGGCACGCATCACAGGAACTGCATTCTCATGAGCATCAATTGCAGCACCATATATGTAAGGCATAAGCGAGATCTTGAGCTTTGTAAATTTAGCCAAGACAACACTAGCTTCATCATCGAAATTCCAAGGTACTCTGTAGGATTCGCTTCCGTGAAGACGAGAATGGGAGCTTAAAAGACCAAAAGCACACCAACGTTTATAGATCGATGGATCAGGTGAGCCTTCAAATCCACCAATATCATGACTCCAAAATCCGAAACCACTAAGTCCCAAGCTTAAACCACCTCTCAAAGATTCAGACATAGCTTCGAAAGTTGATTCGCAATCACCACCCCAATGAACGGGATATTTCTGACCCCCCGTCGTAGCACTACGAGCAAAAAGACAAGCTTCATGTTTTCCCATCTTTTTTTCAAGTACCTCAAAAACAGATTTATTGTACAAAAGTGTGTAGTAATTGTGCATAGAAACCAGATCTTGCCCGCTATTAAATTCTACGTCTTTGCATGGAATCCTTTCTCCGAAATCTGTTTTAAAACTATCAACACCCATATCTACTAAGACTGAAAGTTTATTTTGAAACCATTTATACGCATCAGGATTACTGAAATCAACAATACCCATACCTGCTTGCCAACGATCTGTTTGGTATGCGTCGCCACTTTTATTCTTAATCAAATATCCATTTTTAACTGATTCTTTAAATAATACTGATTCTTGTGCAATATAAGGGTTAATCCAAACACAAATTTTAATATCAAATTCATCTTTTAGTTTTTTAAGCATGGCCTTAGCATCTGGAAAGAACTCCGGATCAAACTCAAAATCGCACCATTGAAAGCCTTTCATCCAAAAACAATCAAAGTGGAAAGTACGCAAAGGAATTCCTCTATCGTGCATTCCTTTTATAAAAGAACTAACTGTCTTTATATCATAATTTGTTGTAAATGAAGTAGTGAGCCAAAGACCAAATGTCCAGGCTGGAGGAAGTGCAGGTAATCCAGTGAATTGTGCATATCTTTGCAAGATACTTTTGGGATCAGGTCCGTAAATTATATAAAACCTTATTCCTTCTCCCGGAACAGTAATATTAACCCTAGTGGTACGTTCCGATTGAAGCTCAAAAACGATATTGGAAGTTGAATCAACAAAAACACCGTACCCACGATTTGACAAATAGAACGGGATATTCTTATATGTCCATTCTGACGAAGTTCCTCCGTCCTCATTCCATATTTCAACTCTTTGACCGTTCTTAACAAAAGGACCAAATCTCTCTCCTAAACCAAAAATTTTTTCTCCAACAGAAAGATGAAGTTGAGCTGTCATGTATGGTGATGCTCTGTTTACGCTCAACTCCTTTCTGGGATATCTTGAATCCAGAACGTGTCCAAGGGATCTAAATCCAAGTTTAGTTAATAGCTGTGAATCCTCTCCAATGAAGTCAATATTGTAGGGCTTGTTTTGAAGCTTTGCGGATATACCTCCTTCAGCTGAGACAGTTGCTCCTTCATCTGAAACTTTTGTAGAACACTGTGTTTTTTCACTTACTGTATCAAACCTTGGCTCCTTAGAATTTAAATAAGGAGAAAGGTGATGATATGATTCAACCCCAATTATACCGTCCCTGGGTGAAGATAGTGTCGTACTAATAGTAGGAACATTGAGATAATCACCACGATGTCTAATAGCCCTTGTAGATGCTACAGAATAAACGGTTGATTGTTCTCGGACTTCAGTCTTGACTCCTTCTGAAGCCCAACTAATGTTAACCCCGTCTTTTATTTCCCACATACCCCTGGTAAAGCGAGTATCTGAATCAACATGGCGATCGATTGAATAATCCGTCATTTTTTTTGTCTAGTTTCAACTTTTATTTTTTGATTTTCGTTATTGGTTCTAGCTATTCTTTTCAATTCCTATTTATATACCATTGAAAATTATTATCAGATCAAGCTTTTATTTGTTACAAACAACTTTCTAACTTTGGAATAAAAAGAGTGGCAGGTTACCCCACGGAAAATGGTCCCTCTATCATAAGAGCAGTCAAAACCTAAATTCTCGGGTTATTATAAAGTTAGACAATAGTTTATTTTCGAACTGATTATTTTATTCTACCGAGAGATATTAAGCAAGTGGGAAAAGTACCTGATTTAGAATTGTATCCGACTTTTATCAATGCTCTCCACTCAATAATGCCTTACTTGTGTTTTCTATATCTCTCAAATATTTTATTTTAACTTTGGATACCGGTAACTATAATATAGTATATCTGGTTATGCCCTCGTATAAGCTGGCATATAGAATACGATTCACTTGAGTTATATTCGTTGAAGGCTGGTACACGGTGATTTGCAACTAACGAACGAAATGTGGCCATTCTAATTATTTAGGTTTACGCAGGAATGGGGTATCAACAATAGTCAACATCTAAATTTGTCTAGAAACACACATTAATTGAGACGCCACTTAAAACTTCTGTATTGGGTATAGGATATGGTGTTATGGGGATATGGGGATATCATTCAAAATAATAAATAGATAATGACCCGAGTCTATATATGCTTGTAAGATTAGTTAATAATGTATAAAAAGAGACAAAGGACGCCTTAATTCTGACTTCATCAATTAAATAATTGAAGTACATTGCAATGGCAAAAGATAAACCAGAAGTACTTCATATTGAAGAGGCTGTAAATGATAATTATTCAGATAAAGCTCTTGATGTTACAAATGTCGAAATAATTGAGGATGCAAAAGAAGCTACTGATAATGAGCATGCCTTAACTCTAAGAGAAGCTTTTGCATCATATAAACCTGCAATTCTTTGGTCAATGGTATTGTCAGCAACTATTATAATGGAGGGGTACGATAATATTCTTATGTCTTCCTTTTTCGCATATCCTTCTTTCCAAAAGAAATACGGGGTTGATATTGGTAATGGTGAATATCAGCTCCTCACCAGATGGCAAACAGCTCTTGGAACTGCCCCTAATGTCGGAACAATTCTTGGTGTATTTGCCAATGGATATTTAACTGAAAGATTTGGTCATAGAAGGGTCATTATGGTGAGTTTAATATTTATGTGTGCATTTATTTTTATCCCATTTTTTGCTCCTTCAGTCGAAGTGTTACTTGTTGGCCAAATATTATGTGGTCTTCCATGGGGAGTGTTTGCTACAATGGGTCCAACATATTCATCTGAGGTTTGTCCCATGGCGTTAAGAGGTTATCTTACTGCTTATGTCAATATGTGTTGGGCCATTGGCCAATTTATTGCTGCAGGAGTTCTTAAGGCACTTGTTGCTAATACTACTGAATGGTCCTACAGAATACCTTTTGCAGTTCAGTGGGCATGGCCTATACCTCTATTTATTCTAACATGGGCTGCTCCTGATTCTCCGTGGTGGCTTATTAGAAAGGGTAGGATTGAAGAGGCTGAAAGGTCTGTAAAAAGGCTTTGTTCTAAATCTATTCAACATAGAGCGCACCAAGCGGTTGCACTTATGATACATACGAACGAACTTGAACAGCAACAAGAAAAGCTTACAAAAGAAGAAGTTAAAGGGTTAAAAAGTTATCTAAAATGTTTTCAAGGTTCTAACCTTCGTAGAACAGAAATTGCTTGTATCGCATTTGCAGGTCAAGTGCTATCAGGATCGACCTTCGCTTATTCTCCAAGCTATTTTTTTTCACAAGCGGGCCTAAATAGTGATGATACTTACAAATTGAATCTCGGTGTTACCGGTATCGCATTTACTGGCACTTTTTGTTCTTGGTTTTTGATAAGGCGTTTTGGTCGAAGAACCATCTACGTTAGTGGGTATTTCATGCTAGTTTTAATGCTCTTTCTTATTGGGATTCTAGCGGTACCGGCAGAAAACAATGCAAACGTCAGATGGGCTCAAGCAGCCTTGACTATGATTTGGGTTGCCACCTATGCTCTTACAATTGGACCTTTGGCCTTCACAATTGTGAGTGAAATGTCTGCGACAAGGTTGCGTGCACAATCGATTGCTTTAGCAAGAAATGCTTATAATTTGGCATCTTTGATATCAAATGTAGTAGAGCCTTATCTTATCACTCCAAGTGGAGCGAACCTTAAAGGTAAAACCGCCTTTGTTTGGTTTGCCACTGCTTTACCTACTCTCATTTGGAGTTACTTCAGGCTTCCTGAAACTAAAGATAGAACGTATGAAGAATTAGATATTCTTTTTGAAAAAGGTATTCCTGCCAGGAAGTTCTCATCTTATGTATTAGATACTGGTGTCGCTAACATAAATGTTGAAAATGTTGAGAAAAAAGAATTAGCTTGAGCGGGAGATCGAATTAGAATTTTTTCTTGCGAGTTTAATTTTTTTCTTTACTCCATGAAAGAACACTTTATTTTAATTCAACAATGTATTGTAAGTCAAATTATCAAACGCATTTTATACGCCTATAAAGTTAGCGAGTGAATAATTGAATGTGATTTTTAGTCAGAAAATTGCGCTTTTTATTGAGCAGACGCATTAATGATCTTTCCGATTAGAAGGCGCATACACAACAGCTATGATGACGTCCATACGATCTCACGACTGTGGGGATTTCTTTAACGCACTATATACAAAATTATATCGAAATGCCTGATCTCCGATACGAACTTCTCTGTCGTGTACCGTGTATCAAAATCTCTTCCCCCACCAAAAGAGAATATGTCCATGATACCATCCTCTCTAGATTAACTCTAAAGTCTCCACCCCCACCAGCCAATCTACTGTATGGTTCCATAGATACTACCTTGTTACGCGTAGTACGAACAGTTCTTTCCTAGTTTGACAAACAATTGCTTCTCGAGGAATAGCAGGGCCCCATAATTCGGCCACTTGTGGAGCAGTATTATGTTGAATTATAAGAGTTGCAAATATTTCCTATAAAATAAATTTGAAGCGATAATTTTGTATATTGAGACCGTACATATTATACAAATTATCTTTCAATATGGCTTTTGAAGATAAGTTAATTGGGCCAGCCTTGAGGTTTAATACATTTTTGGATAAGTTTCCCAAAATTTACAATGTTTATGTTATTGCTATGATCTCATGTATTTCCGGTATGATGTTTGGAATTGATATTTCATCGATGTCTGTGTTTGTTAGTAACGATTATTATCTCGATTATTTTCATTCGCCAAATTCTGAGTTGCAAGGGTTTATTACTGCATCCATGGCATTAGGTTCATTTTTTGGGGCAATTTCTGCTTCATTTGTTTCAGAACCCTTTGGTAGAAGACCTTCTTTAATTACATGTGGTTTCTTTTGGGTGGTCGGATCTGCAATTCAATCCTCTGCCCAAAATGTAGCCCAATTGATAATTGGGCGAATTATCGGTGGATACGGTGTTGGATTTGGGTCATCAGTTGCCCCCGTCTATGGTTCCGAAATGTCACCTAGAAAAATTCGTGGTTTGATAGGAGGTCTTTTTCAGTTTTCAGTAACACTCGGTATTCTTATTATGTATTTTGTGTGTTACGGTTGTCAATTTATACATGGTGTTGCAGCCTTCAGAATACCTTGGGGCTTGCAAATGATTCCTGGACTTTTGATCATGCTTGGAACTTTGTTTATTCCAGAATCCCCTAGATGGTTAGCGAAACAAAATCTTTGGGACCAAGCGGAAAAAATTGTCTCAGAGGTGCAAGCGAAAGGTAATCGCGAGGACCCGAATGTCATAATCGAAATTGGCGAAATTAAAGAACAAATATTTGCATCCGAGAAACTTAGATCTTTTACGTTTGCGGATCTTTTTACTAAGAAGTACATTGCAAGAACCATAGTAGCAGTTAGTGCTCAGATCTGGCAACAATTGGCAGGTCTGAATGTTATGAATTATTATGTTGTTTATATTTTCGACATGGCAGGTTATTCTGGTGATAACAATTTAGTTGCATCTTGTATTCAATATTGTTTAAAGGTTGGCGTAACTGGCATCGCTTTGTTATTTATGGATAAGTTTGGTAGACGACCTCTATTATTAGTTGGTGCCGCTGGAATGATGGCTTGGCAATATGCTGTAGCTGGTCTCTTTGCCACATATTCTTTACCAATTGAAAACCCTGAAATTGATACGGTTAGAATGAGAATTCCCCCGGATAAGAAGCCAGTGGGAAAAGCTATTATCGCATCATGTTTTTTGTTCGTTTGTTTTTATGCCGGGACATGGGGTGTTACTATTTGGGTATATTGTGCTGAAGTTTGGGGCGATAATGCGGCAAGACAAAGAGGTGCTGCTATTTCCACTGCTGCTAATTGGATATTCAATTTCGCTCTTGCTATGTATACACCATCTGCATTCAAAAATATTACATGGAAAACATACATAATCTATGCTACGTTTTGTGCTTGTATGTTCATTCATGTTTTCTTCTTTTTCCCTGAAACCAAGGGTAAGAGATTAGAAGAACTTGGTTTAATGTGGGAAGAAAAAATTCCTGCTTGGAGAAGTAGACTGTGGCAGCCAGATGTTCCATTTCTTTCTGATAAGGAATTACAATCAAAGATGGAAATCGAACATATTGAAGGAGAAAACTCTCAGAACTCACGTGCTTCTCAATCGCTGGAAAACAAATAGAATTTTACCGTTTGTTGCACCTTAGCTGAGCTGCTTCATATTCCTTTATTTCATTCTTTTATAATTGTAAGAAAACAGGTAATATAACTGAGAGCTATATAGTAATATAATACTTTGAAGTATTACGAATACACAATGCTTTTAAAAAAAAAAATGTATGTCAAATATTTTGATTAAGCGAATCTCTCAATCATTTTTTCGCAAACCCCTCTCTTCAAATAATCGATTTTACAAGAATAGTTGAACCACATTCGCAACGCCGCTAAGTTGGGAATGTATCTCGGGAATTACTTTGCCGATATTTAGGAGGCTACAGATATTGGCTGAGTAGATACCCGCCAGCTTACTTCGGTGCCGTTTGAATCGTGTAACATAGTAAGTATCGCTTCTCATGCAAGGGTAACTTGGTGGGGGTGGGGTCTAAGTGGGGGATTATCTGATCAAGACATATATAAGACCACCCAACTTATTACAATTCAATGCTTTATATTTGTAGATAAGTTAAAATATAATTATTAACAATGATTACAAACCCATCTAACTTTAATCCTTGCTCAGATAACTCATTTCAATCAAGAGATGATGTTATGCGTTCGTTCAATGAATCATTTGAACCATTGATTCCTGCATTTTCCACTGGAGGTGCAAGAGTTCACTTGGAAGAAAGTGGTGCTCATTTTCCCATGGCAGCTGCACACTTTGAAGGTTTTGCTAGAGCATTATGGGGAATAGTGCCATATGTTGTTGGTGGTGGGGACTTTAAACATTGGGATTTATTTAGAAGAGGGTTCATTAATGGTACCAACCCCGATCATGAAGAGTACTGGGGAGAAGTTGAGGATTGCGATCAAAAAATGGTTGAATTAGCTGCTGTTGGATATGCTTTGGTATTTGTTCCACAACATGTTTGGGAACCTTTGCCTGAGGAGGCCAAAAAAAATCTTACTTCTTATCTTCTCAAAGCCAGAAAACGTGAATTTCGTCGTTGTAATTGGAAGTTCTTTAGAGTAATGATTGACTTAGGTTTAGATAATGTTGGAATTTCTTACGATAAACAATTAACCGAAGATCATTTGGAAGAATTAGATAAAATGTACATAGGAGATGGCTGGTACGGAGATGGTGATAAAGCCAGTATCGATTATTATAATCCTTTTGCTTTACATTTATATGGATTGGTTTATTACATGGTGAGAAAAGACATTGATCCTGAAAGAAGTCAAAGATTTAAAGATAGAGCTTTGCACTTTGCAAAGCAATATCTTCATTGGTTTGCTGATGATGGTGCTTCTATTCCTTATGGTAGATCCATGACATATAGGTATGCTGTCATTTCCTTTTGGGGTATTTTACCATTAATAACGAAGTCGGACGAAGAACCAGTTATTCCTTGGGGTGTTTTGAAGGGAATATATTTAAGAAACTTGAGATGGTGGGCAATGCAACCAGTCTCTAGATTTAAAAGCAACACCCTTTCAGTCGGGTTTGCTTATCCTAACCAGTTTATGTGTGAAGCATACAATTCTCCTCAATCACCATACTGGTCATTTAAGGCATATATCGCGTTAATGGTCCCTGAAAATCATCCTTTTTGGACAGCTAAAGAGGAGCCATTAGTTTTGGAAGATGCTACATTAAAAGTCCCTGGTATGCTTGTTTCGCATACTAAAGGTAATACTGTAGCATTAATAAGTGGTCCATATAAAACATTCAATTTGAGATATCAAGCTGAAAAGTACAACAAGTTTGCTTACAGTACAAGATATGGTTTCTGTATTGAAAATAATCCTAGAGGATTTAAATTAGCCACTCTTGATAATATGATCGGTTTTAGTTTTTCTGGAAATGACTTCTTTGTCAGACAAACAAACAAGTCTTGGATTAATGATAACGTTTTGTATTCAGAATGGTCGCCTGTAAAGGGAATCAATGTTAAAACATGGCTTATTCAAAAAGGCAAATATCATATTAGAGTGCACCATGTCGAAAACAAAACTTCTGAGAAGGTTGATTCGATTGAAGGTGGTTTTGCCGTATCTTCAATGAATGAGAAAGGTCTTAATACTGCTACACATCCTGGATCGAAAGCTTTGGGAGAAGTTACAACTAATGAAGACAATACTTTAATCGTGAACTTATTGCAAGACAGAAAAGCAAGGGTTACTGAACCAGATCCAAATACCAGTTTAATGGCATCAAAGGTTATGTTGCCACAATTGACAGGCTCAATTGAAGCTAACTCAACAGCTAAGTTTGCATGTGCTGTATACGGTCAACCAGCTTCTGAGCCTTTCTCTAAAGAAAAATGGTTGCAAAGTTTGAGTCTTCCAAGCGAAAGTGAATTGAATGACTTCGTATCCAAGGCAGAAAGAGTCACATGTAACGATGTATAGATTTGGATAACTAAATATGTTCATAATGATGTTTTTTTGATATTATTTGGAGTAGCCTTCTTTGTCGTAAAATAATGCCCTCTCTATTCTAATATAAAATAATATTTTACTTAGAATAATATAGAAGGATAAATCATTTTGCCCTACGAAGAAATTACTAGATCATTATGAATAATAAAAACCTAGTAATTAAAATATTAATGTATATTTGCATATTTTCGAACTCTAACCAAAATGAAACATGCTACAAGAAAAAATAAATAATTTTATTTTATAAAATGACAATTAGAAAAAGTAATCCATATTTACATGCTTTGATAATGACATCTCATTGTATTAATATTGTCTTTTTCTCCCTAAACTCCTTTGTATACAATTCTCCAAAAGATCTGAGTACTCTCGGCATATACTTGAATTGCAGTTGATATATCTATCCTTAAATAGTCTCAAGAGTCCAACTAACTTATGTTTGTTGGGAATCTCATTCAAGCAATTAGCATACATCCTTTTATGTTCGTTAAATAATTTATTATCATTATTCTTCTTCTTAAGTGTACCACAAATTCTTTTAATATACGAATGGCCATCTTCAGATAAATCCGCCAGATTAGCATCTAAATAAGACGTTTGAATTTCATTATTTGAATATGCAGACGATTCGGGTCCTTGCAAGGAAAAATTAAATGCCCATACGACGAATAACGATGTAGCGACAATATTAGGCCTATAAAATATGGGGTCTCTCGAAGGATCATAAAAGAGTTGCATATCATCATTATCTTGTGCAAATAACATTTCATATAAAAAAAGGTAACAATCAACCACGGATACCCTTCCAGCGAGCGAATTTGACCACACCCTAATACGCTGTTCAACAGCTGTATAATCTCTTTCTGCAGTTTTAACATTCATGCGACTAGGCGCCCCAGCATATATAATACAGTCATATTGGTTAATTTTCATTAATGCCTGTCCAATATGATAAATGGGAAACTTACATTGTGTATCATTGATTCTTGATGATAAAGGATGTTCCCCATCATTATTGAAAGGCAAATAAAATGCTGTCTTAGTATCTCGACAATTACCATGGCAAATTGCTTCTCTCCATTCCTCAATTGCCACATATATCGTCTCTTTCCATGTTTCCTTGACAGATTCCCAACCTAAAAATGATACCTGTAGATCTTTCTGCTCCATCTGATAATTAATTGTTAATAAGCCAGCTAATAAAATTTTTCTACTTAATGATGGGGCCTCGAATTTTTCCCTTCGTAATAATTTGGTTAAAGCAGTAATAAATTTAGGTGTTTCTGTTTGGGGAGGGAGATTATTCTTATCAATACTCGACATTTCCCAAAGCATGTCGTCACATGGTAATGATAACTTAATTTGATGAGCGAATAAAATTATTTCATGACCAAATATCGTTGCACGAATAGTATCTATATAAAATGAAACTAATGCAGCCCTCTTTAAGGATTCAATTTCAATCCATTTTTTCCAAAGATCTTGTTCTTCAGTCAACTCATTGTCTTCATTAGATTTATTTAGAGGATCACCCCCTAATAATGGACTTCTCCTTAATAATTGAATTTTAAGTCCATGATGTAAATAAGCTCTTTCGTGTAGTTTTCTATTAGAACATGAAAACTCGTAACTTTCTAAAATAATTAAACTTTGAATAATCCATGATTTTGCAGGAGAAGTGAACTCTTCAGAAGAGCATATCAACCATCTTAATGGTTCTGCGATGGTGTCTGCTAAGCAATGAGCATCCTTAAATATTTGTGACTCGTCTTGACCAGTATGGTACGATAAGCCGGCTCCAATCATAATGATACTTAATAATAGTAATGGATGGACTTCAGGAGTATAAAACGATGGCCTATGTAATATGGGGTATTGTACATGGAATATTGACCAATAAATTTCTAAACTTCTTTCTATTTGAACAGCTCCGAAATCTATATTGTTAGACAAAGAAGGTATCAATAAGACTAATTTCAGTATTATTTGTTCATCAACATATGTTTGAAAGTTCGGATGTGGAAATTTTGGCGAAATAGCAAACGCATCCATTGAAAGAAAACTAGAATAATTGTCAACACCATTGAAAATGAAATTGGGACTAAGCTCACCAGTATTGTTTAAAAATGCATCGTCTTTGAAAAGCCACTGAGTCAAATCTGTAGGCAAGAAATTCTTCTCCGGTATGTAATTCATTGACTCATTATTGAGCACTTCCAAATCTCCACACAAATCAGGAGTCTTCGCCATTTGACTGTCTACCCCATTACCCATGAACCCATTATTGTAATTATACTCATCATTATTCAAATGGAATGAAGTCAGTCTTCTTCTAATTTTATTTGGCGACATATTGTCCGATTTATCTTCCGGAATATTTCTATCGTTGAAATCTGTATTTGAAATATTTTCGAGTGGAGAATTCGTCGATTTCAACGACAGTCCTTGAGATTTCCTCTTCGCTTGGATATGTTTCTGTTTCTCACTCTTAATTATGTGTCTATTTTCGTGTTTCTCCTTTACATCTTTCCTCACAAACTGCTTATTACAACCTTCCCACTTGCAACTATAAAAAGTTTCAGGGTTGTGGTTTAGTTTATGTCTCGCAAGATGGTCAGAACGGGAGAATACCTTATTGCATCCGTCAATGTCACAGCAATACTGTGTTCCACCGGCTACGCTCTTTCTTTTCATTCCTGTTTTATGAATTACGACCGAAATTCGAAGAATTAGTGATATGAATTTATTGAACAAGAATTGATCCCCATATATATATATATACCCCACAGTGCGGCACTCAGAACACCGATCACCAATTTACAGGATTTACGATTACTCCTCGTTTCCGGGAAGTTTCCGACTTGAATACATTTACGAATTAAAAATGGAAGGAAAATTGTTGTTTCTTAATCAGCTATAAACTCTAATTAAATTGCTTACTCATCACTGTCGAAGACAACAACTGGAGCCCAATTTGGTAAAACTAATCTTCTAATACCTCTTAATTTATGAAGATCGTTCAATTCCTTTCCATCTGCATCAGGAAGATCGATGACATTGAAGTTACTTTCAATTCTGTGTGCACTAACGGATTTTGGCAAAACAACTGCACCTCTCCATAAAGCCCAAGAAATCAAAATAGTAGCTGGCGAAACCTTATTCTTTTCTGCGATCTTAACAACAACTTCATCACTCAAAAGAGGAGAGTCGGTAGATCCTAAAGGACTGTAACTTTCCAAAATTATATCATTTTCCTTTGCAAATTGTAATAATTTATGTTGTGGCAAGTAAGGATGTAATTCAACTTGGTTAACAACTGGCTTGACAGTAGTAGTAGGAGCATTCAATAACTTCTTCAAGTTGGTGATGGAGAAGTTAGAGACACCGATGGACTTAGTCTTACCCAGGTCTAACAATTTTTGCATCAAATTATAAGTCTTAATGAAATCCCAGTCTTGGGAAATATCACGGTTTCCATCTGGTAAAGTTGGGAATAATGGATGGTTACCATTTGGGTTCAATGGAACAGGCCAGTGCATTAAGTATAAATCGACGTAGTCTAAACCTAATTTTTGCAAAGAAACATCCAAGGCTTGGTCAACACGAGTGTGATCAGTTCCCCAGACCTTGGTAGTGATGAATATGTCTTCTCTCTTAACGCCAGCATCACGAATGGCTCTACCGATTGGTTCTTCGTTACCGTAACAAGCAGCAGTATCTATGTGCTTGTATCCAATTTTTAAAGCTGCAAGAACAGCATTGTAGACTTCTTCGTCTTTTGATTGCCAAGTTCCTAAGCCGGTAGCTGGAATTTCTTGACCGTTATAAAACTTTAAAACTTTAGTAGATCTAAATATTGTTAGTATATTTATTTCAATTATCTTTTCATATTAGCAAACATACTTTGTTGCGACACTCATTTTTGAATAATTATAATATATTATGATATATAAAGAAGAGAAGTTTATATCTCTCTACTCTGTACCCATTTATATACTTATCGATAAAGGAACGAAGCCCACAACCAACCCCACCTTCTAGATTCTTCTCATCGGATATTTGGTGGGGTTTTCACTGTTAACCCCACCCCCACCAAATTTCCGTAAAACGGTTTTATTTCATCCGGTTTGGAATATAACGACATTAGTATATAAATATATTACGACTGTTGGTTATTAGATACTCCGAAAATCAGATCATCTGTTGTATTTAGGAGTTGTTGCGGGAAATTTCATTTGAGCAATCTAATAAAATAATAATGTGGCTAAAGAGTTATTTACACTTGTGATTTCAAATAAATAAATAATACTATTTTAACCTAAGTAATTAAAATTTTTCAGTATGACAATAAATGTCGGGTGAATGCTTTCTCCAGCGATTCTTTTGACATTCTTCTTTCATTTGATTGGTAAGTAAATCAGGGCCACAACCAACTACTGCTAAAGACTTATAACTACTAGACTTGTCTTCGGTTATCATGTTACTTACAGCTTCATCAATTAATGAAGGAACATGTGGACGCTTATAGTGGATATTAATATTTGACAAATCAAATATCGAGGTCTCGTAGCTTAAACCAGAAGAATTGGAGGATATAGTCTCGTCCAAATCTTGGACTCTTTCTTTTGTGGAGGATACGTCCTTTGTAGTCTTCTCTTTTGTAGAAGTTATATCCTTCGAAGTCATTTCTTTTGTGGTTTCGTCTCTGATATATGTTTCTTTTGTAGGTTCCTGCTCAGCAATTTCATGGCATATCAACTTTCCAGCCAGTGACTGGGTGACATATACATCAATGCTTACAACACCCAATTCTACGTATTGTGCTAACTGGCTTAAAATGTCTTTAAACCATTCGATATTCCTTATGTCTCTGATCATCCAAACTATTTTTATGTGTGCCTTATTTGGACGGAACAAATAATCTCCAGCCTCGTTTCTCTGTCTTATTGTTTCCAAGAGATCTAAAGCCA